TGTACCCGATGGACTTCAGCCACCCTCCCTGCTGCTGGCACAGTGCCAGCCCCACACACTGGATTGAATGGGTGGCGTTTCAGGGGTATGTGGGGGGCTATGCGTATTCTCCCATGCACCAGGCTGGCCTAGCTTCTAACAATGCAAAGGCGGTAGAGATGGGTGGTCTAGGACCATCAGGGAAGAAGCTTGTAAAGAAGCTGGGACTTCAGCTGGGGGAAGGAGGAGGGACAGAGAGAATCTTGGCAGAAAGAAATGTCCGGTGGTGTGTGGGTGTGAGAGAGATAGAGTGTGCAAATAAATGCTCTGGTTCTAGTGAGCTTAATCTCTCTCATGTCCGGTGGTGTGTGTGTGTGTGTGTGTGTGTGTGTGTGTGTGTCCGTGAGCACAAAATAAATGGTCTGCTTCTTCTAATGAGCCTGATCTCTCCTGGGGTTACTGAGGAGTTACCTGCCGCCAAAACGTGTCCAAATATGACCTCGGACACCTCTTCCGGAGCCACCTTGGCCCTCTGCAGGACTTCTTTGATGACAGCTGTCCCGAGGTCGTGGACAGGCACAGTAGACAGGGCACCATTGAAGGAGCCTGCAAGGGAATGGGGAAGAGGGGCGGCCTCTGAGCCGAGAGCACACTGAGCATCACCGAGGAGCAGGATGGGACCACATGCCATAGGGACTTTAATGCTTCGCCAAGCCCAGGACTGCCCAGAGCCTGAACTCAGACCACCAGTTCCTGGCACTCGACACTACAGGGTGACGGATGGGCCACTTTGTAAGTAGGCAGTCGGCCGGGTCCTCTGTGCACCTGCTGGGTAGCGGATGGGAGACCTTCGGGGACACTCACCTATAGCGGTCCGCGCCGCCGAGACGATGACCACGGGATCGGAGCCTAAGTTCATCCTGCTGCTCTGCTGAGTCTGCACAGCTCTGGCTGCAATTGAGGAAAAACTTTGCTGAGTCTGGGCTGAGCGTACTGCCGCCCCGCCCCGTCCCGCCCCAGAACCCCGCCCCCACCGGTCACCACGCTCAGGGAGGGCCCTGAGCAACGCGGGTGCGTGTAGGTGTGGTGTAGACCTTATACGGTCCCGGATGGGGTAGAGACCTGGGGATTCCTGGTGTCTAGGTTGCGGTGGGCGCCGGAAGCGATCAAAAGGCCTAGGTGCTGGGGGAGTCTCAGGCTGTGGACTTCGGACACATGCAACACACCCCTGGACTCTTTCCCTGGACCCGTGGGGGTCATAGTCCCCTTTCTCACTCACATCGTGGGGTTTTTTTGTTTGTTTGTTTTTTGTTTTTTACGAGACAGGGTTTCTCTGTATTGTTTTGGAGGCTGGTGGGTTCTGTTTTTGTGTAGTTTTGAGGCAGTGCGGGTGACTAGAAGAAGGCTTACTTCTGCTTCAGCTGCGAATAGAATTCCCCGGGCAGAATTCCCGAACTCTGCCCCGAGCCAGAGGGATCAGGAAGGATACAGGGTAAATCAGCTAGAGCCGACTTCTCCAAGTGTGCCTGTGCTTGGCAAACAGCAGTTACCTTGTCAAGAGGAGAGCCCCAGGGCTTAAGATGAGGCCACTTCTAGAAGGTGTTCTGTGGGTCCTCTTCCCTGAAGACTTCTTAGGGCCATGGATGAGTGCGGCCAAAGTCAGAATTTGCCAGGCCTTTCTAACTACCGCTACGATGTTAGAAATGGGGGGTGGGGTGGGGGTGGAGAGATGGCTCAGAGGTTAAGAGCACTGACTGCTCTTCCAGAGGTCTTGAGTTCAATTCCCAGCAACCGCATGGTGGCTGACAACCATCTACAATTCAATCTGGTGTATATGTAATAAATAAATAAATCTTAAAAAAAAAAAGAAATGGGCCCCGGTCCGCCCTCCCCACCTCTCCAGTCCCCTGTACCCTGCCAATGCTCCACAAAACACACAGTTGGTGGCCAAGCGGGTCGTTTTCTTTCTGCAGAGGGCACACGACTACTAAATCCTGCAGGCTGTGGTTGAGGCTGGGCTTTCATTCCTGGCAGGAAGGGCTGGTACCTCACTCCAGATTGTTAGAGCTTGGCCTCACATTTTTTCCCCCCAAGGAAAACATATTTTTAGATTTATTATGTGTGTATGTGTGTTTGACTGCCTGCATGCATGTATGTGCACAGTGTATGTTCCTAGTTCCCCAGATAGGTCAGAAAAAGGCTTTGGATCCCCTGAAATGGATTTTTTTTTTCATGACAGGGTTTCTCTGTGGCTTTGAAGGCTGTCCTGAACTAGCTCTTGTAGACCAGGCTGGTCTCAAACTCACAGAGATCTGCCTGCCTCTGCCTCCTGGGTGCTGGGATTAAAGGCAGGCGTGCGACGCCACCACAGCCCAGCTGGAATGGAGTTATAATGGTTTTGGATCACCATGTGGTTACTGAGAACTAACTCAGGTCCTCTGCAAGAGTAAATACCTCCCTCCCTCCCTCCCGCCCCCCCCTCTCTGAGACATGATTTCATAATGAAGCCATTAGCTGACAATCAGGCTGGCCAGGAACTTGAGTGATCCACCTGCTTCTGGGAATAGAGCTGTGTGCCACCCACCATGCCCAGCCTAGCCTTCTGATGTTGGCTAACTCACATATAACTTTCTAGAGCAGATGTAACCTTAGTATATACTGGTTTTTTGTTTGTTTGGTTTGGTTTTTCGAGACAGGGTTCCTCTGTGTAACAAATTCTAGCTGTCCTGGAACTTGCTCTGTAGACCTGGCTGGCTTTGAACTCACAGAGCTCTGCCAGCCTCTGCCTCCCAAGTGCTGGGATTAAAGGTGTGTGCCACCACTGTCCTGCTGAGCACGTACTATTTTCTGAGAAAAATTCTGATTGGGGAGGGGCTTTTGCTGGGTGATGTCTTTTCTAATCAAAGGTGGAAGGTCCTTGGTGTCGTCTAACTTTTGATAGAAAAGAACATTTTGTTCTACTTCCCATGATGCCTTGTGTTGTGTCTTTCCCAGACTCGCCCTGGCTGCCCTTCCACCTCCCACTTCCTCACAGGCCAGCTGCAGGGCCCCCAGCGTTCTGAAAGGACAGTCCTTCTGGTTTGCATCTGCAGCTGCATGTTTTTTTCCATTTCATTTTCCCCCTACTCTGTGGCCATTCTTCAGTCCCCTTCGTGGGCTAACCCTGACCCGCCCTTACCCAACCCTGCAGCAGCTCCCGGGAAGCATGTCCATCCCAGTCACCCATTATACTGACAGCTCGGAAATCCTTCTATTTGCTTATGAGCAGACTGGGCCTCTCTATTTAAATTTCCCAGCACCCACATCTCCTTACAACTACCTGTAACCTCTAGCTCCAGGAGTATCCATTGCTCCTGGCTTCCTTAAGCTCTGTCTTCACATCTAGTGCCCCCCCCCCATTTAAAAACCAGGCTGGGGAAATGGCCCAGTGGTTGGGTACTTGCTGCCCTTGCAAAGGACTTGGCTGGGTTCAGTGCTAGCTCCGGCATGATGGCTCACAACTCCAGTTCCAGGTAAGACCTCTAACCTCTGAATGTGCACACACAAAACATGGGAACACACATATACACATAAATAAACCTTTGACTTGTTTCTGCTAAATTCTTTTTTTTTTAATTTATTTATTCATTATGTATACAGTGTTCTGTCTGCATGTTTGCTTGCACGCCAGAAGAGGGCACCAGATTGAAGTGTAGATGGTCTTGAGCCACCATGTGGTTGCTGGGAATTGAACTCAGGACCTCTGGAAGAGCAGCCAGTGCTCTTAACCTCTGAGCCATCTCTCCAGCCCCTCTGCTAAATTCTTGTACAGCCATTCGGCAAGTTCCTGAGGTAGAGGCAGAGCATGTTTCTGGCCTGTAGTGGCTGGCTAGATAGGAGCATAGTCTAAAATAATGATTTGTCATGCCGGACAGTGGTGGCACACACCTTTATCTCAGCACTCAGGAGGCAGAGACAGGCAGAGCTCTGTGAGTTCGAGGCTAACTTGGTCTACAAAGTAAGTTCCCTAACAGTCAGGGGTACACAGAGAAACCTTGTCTCAAAAAAGTGAAAACAAACAAGTAATAATAATGATTAGTTCAGTCAGGAACGCTGTCTTAGCTTCAGGTGTCTAAACCAGGTAGATTATTAAAGCCTAGGAGTTGTGATCAGCACAGAGGCCTCATGTCACAAGCTAGAAAAATGATGTAAAACAAAAGCAGTACACTACTTATCAAGTGTCAGATACTGTGTGTAACTGCTTTGCTTCTTTTTTCTGTGTCTTTTTTTGAGACAGGGTTTCTCTGTGTAGTGCTGGCTATCCTGGAACTGGCTCTTTGGACTGGGCCTGCCTCCACCTCTCGAGTGCTGGGATTGTAGGTGTGTGCCATGTGTGCCACCTACCGGCTTTATACTTCCACCGAAAACTGTATGTTACAAGCCACTGTGCAGGCTAGTGCAAAGCATCTTGTTTGTAGTCCCATTAGCGGTGACTGCACTGACTACAGCTGCTGTAACATCACTCAGGGGAAGGCATTTTTACTCTTAGGGGACTGCTGACCAATCATGCAGCTGTGACACATGGCTTCAATAACTGACTTTTGGAATCCGTCTCTATTACATTTTGCTTAAGATTGCCACAGGGTGTGTGACTACCTCTTAGCAGGGTCATCTGAGGAACATAGAGGCTTGTTAGAAATATCTCTAATAAATGAACTCTGCTTGCCCAACCTGCCCCCAACTGCTCCAGGAGTCCTTGGCTGTACTTCGCAGTTACATATTGTAAATTATGGTTTTGCTGTTCATGCTGCCTGTCCTTAGTGCGTTCTTATGTTCTAGCTTTGTTTCTCTTGTCATGATAAAAATCACAGACAAGCAGGGCAGTGGTGGCACACGCCTTTAATCCCAGCACTCGGAGGCAGAGGCAGGCGGATCTCTGTGAGTTCGAGGCCGGGCTGGACCGACAGCCTCCAAAACAATACAGAGAAACCTTGTCTCGTAATCCCCCGCCTCCCAAGAAAAAGTCACAGACAAAAGCAACATAAGAGAGGAAAGAGTTTACTTGGCTCACAGTTCAAGGTTATAGTCCATCATTTTGGGGAAGTCAAGGCAGGAATTTGAAGCAGGTAACATCCTATCCAGTAAGAACAAAGAGAAATAAACACATCAAAACTGCCTGCTGCTCACTTTCCTGCTCTCAGGGGCATACTTGTTAGAAGTCCCGCAGCCTTCTGGTCTAGAATAGCTGGAACACACTACATCAGCTTGGTCATCGAGTCACATTTTCACCATTACAAGATTGGTCTTGATTTGATCAATGGGAAACCATCAGACAACAAGCAAGCAGGGGCATTAGAACCAATATAAAGTGAAGAGCCTGAAGTTTGCAACAGAAGCCCCAATCACCAGTATTCAAATGGGTCATTTTGGGGTCCAGGCATAATGGCACACACCTTTAATTCCAGTGCTCAGGAGGCAGAGGCAGGTGGATCTCTAGGAGTTCAAAGCCAGCCTGGTCTACCAAACAATTTCAAGGCTACATGGTGAGGCCCTGTCTCAAAAACAAAACAATGATCAGAGAACATTACACCCAGAAACTAAAGATGCTTAGTTATGGAAATGCGGTTCACTCTGGAGCCCTTGATGACTGACTGGATTTCCCTTTTATTTATAGCAGTGTGAGGTTGCAATGTCTTAGCCTTGGGTATCTCACATTAAAGTACAGCGAGCTGTCCACCTGGGTTCCTGTCCTCACTTTGGTCCTCTGATTTCACATACTAGCTAGTGTTTCACATTTAACAAGAACCATTCGAGGGTGATGGCTGTCGGGCAGGTCACCCTCTCTGAACACACATAGCTATCCCCATGCCACCCCCAATGCACAGGGCTGCCACACCACGAGTCCCGCCCATCCTCTCAAGGCTGTGTAACAAGGTCACTAGAATCCTGCAGCCAGATGCTCCCAGGGGATGGCCCAAGGCAATGGCTCCTCCATTGATGTTGACCTACAGGGAAGGAGAGGGTCTGTCAGTCAGGCTTCTGTGGACACAGGCCAACACCCCAGTTTATCCTGTTCCTCTCGATGTTATGCTGGCAACCCCCCCTTCAAGTGCCCTTGTAAAGCTGAGGAGTAAACACTGCCTGTGACACCTGCTGATTCCCTTGTTTCTAGAATGTCCTATTCATTGTGAATCAGCATACTCAGTTCTTGCCGTGGAAAATAACAAATGAGTCAACTGAAACTTAACTAGTATTTGTTCATCTCTTGCCAAGGTTACTGGTCCTGGGAAATAACCTCATCCTTTGCTTTTTACAGCCTTAAACACGGATTGTGCAAGTTCACAAATTCATTCTGGTTACCTTCTCAGGGTTTAATCCAAGTTCTTTAGCTATTGCAACAGACACAGCTGCAAAGGCTTCATTGATTTCATACAGGTCAACATCCTCCAGGGACCAGCCTGCTTTTGCAACCTACAGGAAAGACAAACCAAAGTCAAATCATTCATTACTAACATAAAGGTATATACATGAGGTCTGGAAGCTGGTTCAGTGGCAAAGAATACTTGCTGCTCTATCATGAGAATGAGACTTCAGACTCCAGCACTCATGTTGGATGGCTTACAGATCCCTGGAACTCCAGCTCTATGGCATCACATGCCCTCTTGTGGCCTCCATGTGCAACTGCATGCTTGCACACACAATGATTAAAAAGGAAGAAACAGTGTGCATGATACATGTAATATACCCCTCAAAAACACATCTCTTGGGGGCTGGAGAGATGGCTCAGCAGTTAAGAATACTGACTGTTCTTCCAGAGGTCCTGAGTTCAATTCCCGGCAACCACATGGTGGCTCACAACCACCTTGAATGAGATCTGGTGCCCTCTCCTGGCATGCAGGCAGAAGGCTGTATACACAATAAATAAATAAAATATTAGCCAGGCGTTGGTGGCGCACGCCTTTAATCCCAGCACTTGGGAGGCAGAGACAGGCGGATCACTGTGAGTTCGAGACCAGCCTGGTCTACTGAGTGAGTTCCAGGACAGGCTCCAAAACAATACAGATAAACCCTGTCTCGAAACCCCCCCCCCAAAAAATAAATAAATAAATAAATAAAATATTTAAAACAAAACAAAACACATCTCTTAGGAAACTGCCTAAGAAGTTAGGTGTACCATGGTGGGTTCTGTCTGTAAACCAAGGGCTGTAGAGGCTTGTAGAGGCTACAGTTAGCCTGCATAATAAAACCCCACCTGAAACCTCTGTCAGTATGGACTGTTCCTATCTGGGCTCCTGGACAAACATTTCCCCTGGGCGAAGCTGACTCCATTCAAAGGCAGATGGTGGTCTCTATGGTCATACACACACCTGTAATGTCAGCACCTCAGAAGCTCAGGCAGGACAGTGGCTATATTTATATAGAGTAGTTCCAGTCTCAACACCAGTAATAAATTCCCCTTACTGTAGAAGGTCTAAGCTGTCCTAAATATGAAACAAACAGCATCTGTTATGTGCAGGTAACACACCACACTCGGATCAGATTTTTAAAAAATCTAGGGGCTGGAGAAAGGGCTCAGCTCTTCCAGATGACCTGTGATTGGTTCCCAACACTCTCGTGGGGGCTCATAATACAGTCTGTAACTCCAGTCCCAGGGGTTCCGACACCTCCACTGGCACACAAGAGGTTTGCAGACATATATACAAGCAAAACACCCATTCATTTAAAATAAAATGAAAAATAAATGACCTGGGGCTGGAGAAAAGGTTCAGTAGGTGAAGTGCAAATGTCCTGAGGTCAATTCCTGGAACCCACACAGGAAAAAAGAAGGTACTGGGTGGTGGTGCTGTACCCCTTTAATTCCAACATACACAAAGGCAGGTGGATCTCTGTGAGCTGAAGTCGAGCCTAGTCTACAAAGCGAGTTTCAGGACAGCCAGGGCTACACTGAGAAAGCCTGTCTTCACAAACAACAGGAACAAACAAGAACCATGAGGCATGGTGGTTCACCTGTGATCACACTGCTGGGAAGGCTGAGGTGGGCAGATCGCCGGGCCAAACGGCCAATTAGCCTGACTGGAAAATTTCAGACCACTGTGAGACTGTCTCACAAACACAGAGGAAGGGAACTGTGAGTTGGTTCAGTGAATAAAAACGCTTCATGTCAGGCCTTACTCCTGAGTTCTCCAGGTCCCACAAGTATAAGGCAAGAACAACTCCTACAAGTTGTCCTCCGACTCCCACATATGTACCAAGCCTACACACACACACACACACACACACACACACAGTGACAGAGTCACACACACACACACAGTGACACAGAGTCTCACACACACACACACACACACACACACACACACTGACAGGGTCCTAGATCAGGTCACCAGGAGGTAAGAAGACAGGAAAGCTGAGGCCAGCATGTCTTACACAAGCTATGTCTTATGCTGAGCAAGCTTTCTAGTAAGTGCAGCACTTTATATACAGTTCCTAGGGGAGAAATGGGACAATAAAACCAAGGTCAGCAGGAAGTTAACCAAGCGATGTTGCACAAGGAGAAAGAACACTGAGCACACGATGGCCTTGGGACTGATAATTCGAGTTTCTTCAGGGGAAAAAGCAAGTTTGCAGGAATTGAATTTTTAATTCCTTCAAGGTCTTGACTCCAGCTCCAAACTAGATCTTGCCACATGTGTCCCTGGGCAAGGACACAAAACTAGGTTCCCTTTATCCTGTCAACTGGGCATCTGAGAAGCCTTGGATGAGCCTGGCTCTCAATGCTCACACAGTCACACACACAGGCTTTAAAAAATATGTTCAAAATTATTTATTTTTTGTGAGTGTTTTGCCTGTATGTATGTAAGTACACCAAACACATGCCTGGTACCTATGGATTTTCGAAGAAGGCCTGAGATCTCTAGGGACTAGTTAACAGACAGTTGTGAGCTTCCACGTGGGTGCTGGGAATTGAAGCCAGGTCTCCTGGAAGAGCAGCCAGTACTCTTAACTACTGAGCCTTTTCTCCATATATGTAGGTTGGGCTTTTTTTTTTAATTTTGTTTTTCAATACAGAGTTTCTCTGTATAGCCCTGGCTGTTCTGGAGCTCACTCTATAGACCAGGCTGACCTCAAACTCACAGAGATTCACTTGTCTTTGCCTCCCAAGTGCTGGGATTAAAGGCATGAACCACCACCTTGCTTTTTTTTTTTTTAAGACTTATTTATTATGTATATAGTAATCTGCCTCCATGTATGCCTGCACACCAGAAGAGGGCACCAGATCTCATTATAGATGATTGTGAATCACCATGTGGGAACAGAACTTAGGTCCTCTGGAAGAGCAGTCAGTGCTCTTAACCTCTGAGCCATCTCTCCAGCCTGATTTTCTTTCTTTTTTTAAAAGATGGAACAACAATGTGTCCTCTGCCTTCACACAAACCCAAAGACACAGTACTTAGACAAATACGTGACCCAAATGTTAGGGAGGGAACTAAATTCAGTTAAGACCTGGGGAATATACTGTTTTTACAAAAAGCAAACAATAAAAGCTGTTAGCAGTAACAGAATCAAGCATGTCCTTATACTTCAGAGTGAAGGGGAGAGTTTAAGAAGAGCTTGTGCAGAGCTGCAGTTAGCTGCCCTCAGAACATCACCAAAGGCAGGGATGAGGTCACAAAGTTAAGGCAGACAGATATGGAGGTACAGACCTGTGATCTCAGGAGTTGGGAAAAGAGGCTGAAGGCCCATGAGTCTAAGGTTGTTCAAGGTTGTCCTAAGCTACACAGTAGGTTTGAAGGCAGCCTGAGCTACACAGAAATCTGCCACAAACAGACAAACAAACCAAACAGCTGAAAGGCTACAGAGTAAGACTTACAGCTTGCTTTATGGCTGGAATTGGTCCTGCTCCCATAATGGAAGGCTCCACACCAGCTTGTGACCACGAAACTATTCTTGCTAAAGGTTTCAGCATCCGACTCTCGGCTTCTGCCTTCTTCATAAGAACCACAGCAGCGGCACCATCGTTTATTCCTGTGAACAAGTGACTTGGTTTTTACAGTGCTCTTTACATCACGTACATACCCAGGGCCACACCTTTTCTACCTGAAAGCATTAAACTACTAACAAGTTGGCAACGTCATTTGCTGGGATTCATCAGACTTCTCAGTGTACTTAGAAATGGTCAAGGTTGCTGAGTGGTGGTGGCCTATGCCTTTAGTCCTAATCCTAGGGAGGAAAAAGCAGGCAGATCTCTGAGTTCAAGGCCAACCTAGTATACAGAGCTAGTTCTAAGACAGCCAGGGCTGTTACACAGAGAAACTCTGTCACAAAAAATGAAAGACCCCTACCCAGGACCCCCTAGGAAAAGAAAAGCAAGGCCAGGCTGTTGCCTAATGAAAGAAACCCAGACCAGGTACCTCACCCAGCTGGCAGGATGTCAAACAGGATCTATGATCACCAGAGCAGGCATGGGACCCGGATAATAATTGCTGAAGCGTGCCAGGGTCTTTTATGTGGCAATACCAGGACACCTAGTCCTTGGCAACTACCCTTGCCCCCAGTTGTGTCTATGATCACCATAGTAGTCATGGGACCCGGATAATAATTGCTGAAGCATGCCGGGGTCTTTCATAAAGTAATACCAGGAAACTTAGTCCGTGGGAACTACCCCTGCCCCCAAGATGAGCCAATGAAATGCCTGTCACTTATGTAACCATTAAAACTCTATAAATATTGTACTCCCTGCAAGCCCGGTATGCTCTGCACCCGAGTTGCAGTAGCATCCGCAGGCGCCTGTGTACTCAATAAATCACCTCTTGCATTTGCAGCCAGTGGTCTGGCCCTGGTTCTTGGGCAGAGGGTTCGGTTCAGTGCCCGGCGCTTTGATGCCGAGGTCTTTCAAAAACAAAACAAAACAAAAAACACATACACACAAGGAAAGGGTAAAGATCAAGTCTAGAATATGATATTGACCATTCTTGCTTTTGGGGAGGGGAGATGGAAGGAAACTAAAGAAATAAGCCTAGGCCTCACTCCCAGATACTGGGAACTGGAAAAGTATGAAGGACAGTAAACTCTGAAGTCCTTGCTTCAACCTCATAGAACTCTGGTGCAATGCTGGGGTTAAAGGAGTGCCTCAGCATGCCTGGAATTTCAGATTCCCTCTACTACCCCAGACAGGGTTTCTGTGTAGCTCTGGATGTCCTGAACTCAATCTATAGATCAGGTTGGCCTTGAACTCACAGAGTATTAGGATTAAAGGTGTGAGCCGGGCGGTGGTGGCACACGCCTTTAATCCCAGCACTCGGGAGGCAGAGGCAGGCGGATCTCTGTGACTGGACTGAAAGCCTCCAAAACAATACAGAGAAACCCTGTCTCGTAAATACCAAAAAAAAAAAAAAAAAAAAAAAAAAAAGGTGTGGACTACTATTGCCCAAACAACTTCGTAGTTTTAATTTTATTCTTTTCACCTATAAATTTAATCTAGATGTCAAGAAGGCAAATCTCTTCATTAAGCATAGATTAAATAATCAAGCATATAGAAGCTATATGCTTTCCCCCTAAACCCATACTTTTGTGTAGAAAGACATATTCACTGGGTAGACCTCACCAGAGTCAGTACTTCCATCAATGCCCTTCTGAGATCGAACCTGATGCATTAGCTGGGGTGACTGTTCCTGTCCCATCAGAAAGAAAGTAAGGTTTTAGCTTGGCCACGGCTTCCATGTTACTCCCATGGCGAGGAAACTCATCAATTTTCATTTCAGTAGAACCTGGAGAAAATAAAAGCATTTTCCAGATGAATACAGAGAAGGCAGCCCCGGGACTTCTCAAACAAGAGGATTTGCATTTGGAAGAAAGGTTTATTCACATTTACCCACTTCATTCCAGTAGGAAACTCCTAGAATTACTGCATGCTGTTCCATGGGAACTCTTGTGAGGCCGTCTTGCTGTGTCCCAAATCCACAGGCCTTCCTAGGGACAGGCTATGCACATGGCTTTGAGTCACTGCTCAACTGACTGGCTGGCTACAACTGAGTAGAACAGGAGTGGAACCGCCCACCTCTGAGCTGGGCATGAATGTCAGTTATTGACAAAGGAGCTGTCTCAGACTCTGCTTCAGACCATGGACAGTGACCTAACAGGATGCCTCCTTAGCAACTGGAGAGACTGTTCAGTCTTTAAGATTGCTTGCTGTTCAATCATGATGACCAGAATTTGCACCTACCTCCAGCAGCTCCTAAGTACCTGTAACTCCAACTCCTAGGGATCCAAGGCCTTCAGACACCCCCATGGGTGTCCACACACGTGTACATATACTCACAGATACAGACAGACATGCACACACATGAAGGTAAAATAAATCTTTTTAAAAAGCGCTCCCTTCATAACGAGAGAGTAAGACACATGGGATCAACTCTGCAGCACAGATGCCATTCCCGAAAGGCTTGGAAAGCTGTGACAACCACATACTAATGCTCCACTCCTCATGGAACCCACGGTTATACACTGCAGCTGTGAACTCTTTGAAGATGATGGTTTCCCGTGTGACCATATCCCGTGTAGACTGTTTTCCAGCCTGTCCACATAATGAGCTGTAGTCCATCCAGGGCTACACAGCAGGAGCATGTCTCAAAAGAACACATCACCATCTGCACTCACAGTCAGACGTATAAAGCCTACATCTTCACAACTTGGAAGGACCAGAGTTCACAAACAGCCTACACACCATCCTTGCGGGTGCTACTGGGTTTTCATATCTGCGGACAGGCTCATGTCTACAGTGGCCTCCATTCTCACCTTTCCTGGAAGACACCAACACCGGCACAATCTCCTTGTCAAAGTGGCCAGCCTTCTGGGCATGCTCTGCCCTGTTCTGGGACACAACTGCAACCTTGTCCTGGGCTTCTCTACTCACTTGCCATTTTTTGGCCACATTCTCAGCTGAGGAGAAGAAAAGGCAAAAACATCATATTCATGAGCTGGGTGTTGGGAGCTCAAGCTCCTCACATTAAGTCTGTATCCAGATTGACCACTGATACTGCTGTTACCTCATTAGCTAACCCTGTCTATATGAACCTTTTTTTTTTTTTTTTTTGGTTTTTCGAGACAGGGTTTCTCTGTGGCTTTGGAGGCTGTCCTGGAACTCGATTGGTAGTCCAGGCTGGTCTCGAACTCACAGAGATCTGCCTGCCTCTGCCTCCCGAGTGCTGGGATTAAAGGCGTGCACCGCCAACGCCCGGCTTTTTGCAGCCTGAGTGATTTTTTTTTTTTTTTTGGTTTTTCAAGACAGGGTTTCTCTGTATTGTTTTGGAGGCTGTCCTGGAACTCACCCTGTAGACCAGGCTGGCCTCGAACTCACAGAGATCCGCCTGCCTCTGCCTCCCGAGTGCTGGATTAAAGGCTTGCGCCACCACTGCCTGGCTACATGAACCTTCTAGGAAGTAGAAGTTCACAGGTTTCTCTCTCCGAGGATAACTGACAGTTTGAAGATGTTTGCTGCCAAGCGTGACGGCTTGAGCTTGACCCTTGGGATGAACGTGGTGGAAGGAGGGAACCATGGCAGGGTTTCTCTCTCTCTCTTTTTACAATTTTCTTTTTTTTTTGTTTTTTTTCGAGACAGGGTTTCTCTGTGGCTTTGGAGGCTGTCCTGGAACTCCCTTGGTAGTCCAGGCTGGTCTCGACCTCACAGAGATCCGCCTGCCTCTGCCTCCCGAGTGCTGGGATTAAAGGCGTGCGCCACCACCGCCCGGCCTCTTTTTACAATTTTAAGCCAGGAAATTTAACATTAGTACTATTTCTTGGCTTGTCTCCAAACCTTACCTTTTGTCACAATGAGACTTAAGAGTTTGCTGGGTCTGATGGCACACAGCTAGGCAGGGGGTCTCTGTGAGTTGTGGGCCACTGTTCAGACTACCTGTGCTCCTTAAGTTTGATAATATCATTTATTTGATCTCTGTGTGTCTGTATGTGCCCAAGTGTGCAGCTGCCTGAGGCCAGAACATGAGCCACCTGACATGATTGCTGGCCCCGAACTCTGGGCCTGTCAGTGCAGCAAGCACTTTTAAACACTGAGCCAGCTCTCTAGCCCATGGTTACGTATCTCTGAAGAGCAGGGACCGTTCTCTTCCATCACACGGCCTTACGTTTCCTCACTGAAACGGTGTGTCGACACAGGTGATGACCAGTTTATCTTGGTACTCGGTTATGCTTGAGGCCCTTGAGATAAGTTTCTACATGTCTTTTTTTGTTTGTTTTGGGGAGCCCAGGACTCTGCACATGCTAAACAAGTGTTCTAACATGAAACTAGACCCCTAGCTTCAGAGTCTGAATTTTTAACGACATCTTGGTGATGTTCAGGCAGGTGGTCTGAGGAACTGGCTGGACACTGGGGTGGCTAAGATCCAGGCTAGACTCACGACACCCCCGTGGTCTGCTGGTGCTCTGACCGAGCAGAAGCCCGAGTCCCGGTCTGACACAGTCCCGAGACTCACGACACCCCCGTGGTCTGCTGGTGCTCTCACCGAGCAGAAGCCCGAGCCCCGGTCTGACACAGTCCCGAGACCTCCTTGCATTTGCATACAGTGTCTCTTCTGCTTACACTGCAGCCTTTCCCTGTTATCCTATTCCCAAGACTCACACTTCTCATTAACCTTAGCCATTGCTGCCAGCTTCTCAACAAGCTGATTCACCGCTCAGGGTTTATTTAACTCAAATGTTCCTTCTGCTAAGTGACATTTATATATGGTCAAAGTATTGGTTTTCCAGTTGCTTCACAGGACACAAGGACCAGTGGTTCTTAACCTTCTTAATGCTGCAGCCCTTTCATACAGCTCCTCATGTTGTGGTGACCCCCAACCATAAAATTATTCGTGTTGCTACTCCATAACTGTAATTTTGTTATTATGAATCATAATGTAAATATCTGATATGTAGATGATCTTAGGGTACACCTATGAAAGGGTCTTTCTGTCACCCAAAGGGGTCACGACCCACAGGCTGAGAACTGCTGACCTAGACACATGACTGATACACAACTGTGTCACCAGAAGAACTAGCTTTTTTTGCTAGCACCTCTCTTACAGGCCAGTATCTGTGGGCTCTGCTTCCTTATTTGATGAAATGAGGAGCCGACCCAGAAGAACCCTAACATTCTGACGCCAAGGATGCACAAGTACAGAGTACTGATTTACTTGTTCCTAACATTCTTTTTTAATTATTATTATTATTTTTTTTTTTAATTTCAAGACAATGTTTCTCTGTATAGCTTTTTAGCCCAGGTTGGCCTCGAACTCACAGAGATCTGCCTGCCTCTGCCTCTGCCTCCCCAGTGCTGGGAATTAAAGGCATGCACCACCAATTCCGGGCTGAAACTTTTTTTTAAATTTATTTATTTCATTTAATGCCTGAGTGTTTTACTTGTATGTATGTCTATGTACATATGAGTGATGGGGGAAGTCCTGTGTATATGTCAATAAAGCACTGTTGGCCAATAGGGAAGCAAGATAGGTGGGACTAGGAGTCGAGGAGGACTCTGGGTAGGAGAAACACAGGAAGTCAAGATGTAACTGCCATAGGGATAAGAAGCCTGGAAACTTTGCTCCGGTAAGAGAAATGCTTAGATTAACAATTATGGGGTAATTACTTAAGGCAGAGCTAGCCAGTAAGAAACAAGCAAGGCCAACAGCTTCATAATTAATATAGCCTCCTGTGTGTTTATTTGGGACTGATGCGGCTCTGGAACCAAACTGGCAAGAAGGCTCTTTCTCTTTACATAATGGTGTCAGGAGTGGGGTCATGAATTTTCACATAGAATGACAAAAGCTTTAAAGGAATTTTAGAAACAAAAGAACGGAGAGAAGCACAGCTTCTTGGTAGCAGCATTTTCTCAGGTGGGCTCTATTTTGCTAGCGACAAGCAGAGACTCACGTGGCTTGCTTAAGGGAGTCTTCCTGACTCAGCATAAAAAAAAAAAAAAAAAAACAAGGTTCTTTTAAGAGGCTCTGCTAGCGAATGAGAGGTGTGCATGTACAGCCATCTTGGAAAAACTGCAGTTTAAATAGCCGAGGTTTTAACAGATTAGACACGTGGCCAGAAAAACATAAAGATTTACAGTAAAGTCAGACTTGGATAAAGAAAAACCTCTAAAGTTTTACAGTGTGTTTAAAAAATATATGTAAAATTGAGAGAGAAAAAGAAACTGCATAGTGGTAAATAGAGAAGCCGGCTGTGGTGGCGCAAGCCGGTAGGATTGCTGCAGAGGCAGGCAGATTTCCAAAGAGAAACCCTGTCTCAGAGAAATAAATAAAGAAATAAAAGTAAAAGAAATACAGTAATAATATAGATAAATAAATAAACCACGTAAAGATGGAAAATACACAGAAAGTCTGGATACTGTATGCTATTGTGGTTTTCAGTTTTTTGATTGCTCAGGAAGGAATAACTGCTAAAGTACACTTGATTATAAATGCTGCTCAATTAATCCAACTTCTATCTTTTGAAAATGACTTGACTTCAAAATTTAAGTATAACAATGTTACTTGGGAGAGGAGTTTTTGTTTATGTTTCTACAGAAAATGAAAAGCTGAGGATTCCTTCCAGGTTTCTGTGGTTTGATGAACCAAGACCCACAGAAGCAATGGGCCAAGTGATTCAAAATCTAAAACAGCTAAGATGATAGAGCCTTACAGACCATGAAAATAAGGACTTATACTGGTTTTTAAGTTTTGTCATGATCCCCATGGTATGAACAGCGCCCCCTTCCAGCACGAAGCAGTTTGGAATGAGCGACGTCCTAATTCCCATCTTGTTTATAAATCTTTGTTTTCATTTAAATGGGGTTGTTTATAGTAGGCTAATGATCACAGACAATCTCTTTTTAATGATAAAAAGGGGAATTATGGTATGGGTATGGTTTTTCATTTATTGATACAAATTCAAGGTCAATTTTGTGATATGGATATTTCTCCTCTTGATTAAGTATTGTGTTTATACTGATCTTTAAAACAATACTTAATTAAATACAGATTATAGATAGTTACTTATAATAGTCAGGACTTATAGTTAAGTAAGATAGGTTTTCTAGATATACAGAGATATATTTGAGATAGACAGTCTTCAAACCTTTCAAAGACCTTCAGAAAATGGCATTTAAAATGGTTTAGGGTTTTTCTTGACAATGAGAAATGTGTGCTCCTGGCAGCACCAATTATGTCTGAGAGGAAGATGGGCATCAAAGAAACTCGTTATGGAGTTTGCTTTCAACATGGAAGATTAGCCATTTGGGCAAGAAACTACTCTTGCCTAGACTGCTTGACTGTTGCTGTATAAACTGGACATGCAGGACCCACAGGAAAGTGGATACTGAACTCAAACAGTCCTTCAGGGTTCCTGATTAATGGAAGAGTCTACGAGACTTTCTGCAGGACACAGAAAAATGACTGACAGACTGCCAATGCAGATGGACAGTTTGAAATTTCCTGCTTTGCTGAGAAATCTTCTGGACACAATGTGGCTTATGGGCTGAAGGTGGATGCCCCAACGTTACAGAGAAACTTCAGGTGACTGTCCAGGCAGCAAGATGTCTCTGTCAATCCTAGTGTTTATATATTATCCTTCTGTGGTCTTTGATGGAGTTGATGGCAGATAATTATAGTTTTCCTTAGTTATGATAAAAGATAAGCTACATATAGAACTTTGGACTCACAAGGATGTGATAGATGATATTTTCTTTAAATCTTGCTGAATGTTGATAGACCAAATATTGTAACTGTGTTCTCACTTGATTACTGTTCTGTTATATATAATTTGTCTATGTTAAAGTTTAAGACCTTTCACTCGGGAGGCAGAGGCAGGTGGATTTCTGTGAGTTCGAGGTCAGCCTGGTCTACAGAGCGAGTTCCAGGACAGCCTCCAAAACAATACAGAGAAACCCTGTCTCGAAAAACCAAAAAAAAAAAAAAAAAAAAAGTTTAAGACCTTTCTGTTTGTTTAGACAGAAAAGAGGAGATGATGGGAGAAGTCCTGTGTATATGTCAATAAAGCACTGATGGCCAATAGGGAAGCAAGATAGGTGGGACTAGGAGTCGAGGAGGACTCTGGGTAGGAGAAACACAGGAAGTCAAGATGTAACTGCCATAGGGATAAGAAGCCTGGAAACTTCTCCGGTAAGAGAAATGCTTAGATTAACAATTATGGGATAAATACTTAAGGCAGAGCTAGCCAGTAAGAAACAAGCAAGGCCAACAGCTTCATAATTAATACAGTGTCTTGTGTGTTTATTTGGGGCTAAGCAGATGTTGGACAGTATGGTAGCTTGATGGCCAGACTCAGAGCCTATGCTAACAGCCTCACGGTCACCTGCTCTTGTCAACCTTCTAAAGCTGGTGTTGGCAGCCACATCGGCCTTACCTGTGATGCCCATGTGGTAGTTGTGAAAGGCATCTGTGAGACCATCACAGAGAATGCTGTCAGCTAGCGGCATCTCACCCATCTTGACTCCTGCTCTCAGGTGAGCCAAGTGAGGGGCCTGGAAACAGGAAGTAAGAACAGGGTTAGACTGCTTGTCATTCATCCTCTCCTTAGGGTCCTTAGGCTCCCAGGCAGCCTCGGAATGGTCTGGACAGAACTTCCTCCTCTTCATCTACCCATCAAGCCCTTCTCCCCACTGCCTGCTTCCCCAGGTCAGGGCCTGAGGCCTCTTGGAATCAGCAGAACAGTCCTTCCTGCCTTCTCCTAAGAGTCTATTCTTCAGGGGCTGGAAGGATGGCTCAGCGGTTAAGAGCAGTGGCTGCTCTTCCAGAGGATCCGGGTTCCAATCCCATCACCCGCATGGCGGCTCACAACCGCATATAATGAGATCTGATGCCCTCGTCTGGCATGTAGGCATGCATGCAGACAGAACACTCTATACATAGTAAATAAATAAATTTAAAAAAAAAAAAGTTGCTCGTTTCTATTTCTCCCTCAAACTGTAAGTTGGGAATGTCAGCACTGACTCCATATTGGCTTATGTGACCACACTACAGTGCAGGTGCAGGTCTGCACATTAGTACATCCAACTAGAAGGACTCCACACACTTTGTGGCCTTTGGTCTGCCTCTTCCTGGGCTCTGCAGTGGCTGAGCTCACTAGGTCTCTGACCAGTGCCTTCCAAGGTCAGACTGGAGCTGCTTCGACAGGAAGAAGATAGTGTGTCACTGCAGTGCCAGCTTGAAGGACAGCACTTGGAGAGACAGACTGGGATGACAAGCCTCCTGGAGAGGTCAGCTCCCCATGAAGTCGGCCATGTTCAGCTCCCCATGAAGTCGGCCACCTTCTTCTGTTGGTTTTGAGACAAAACCTGCTGTGGGATCTAGGCTACTCCTGAACTTTTGGGCTCACAGGCTTCTCAGCCTCCCGGACAGCAGGAGCTGGGCGTGCTTCCATGGTGTCTTTTACATGTTCTACTCTCTAGGAGATCAACAAAGTCTGGTCCCTGGGGTCCCTCCTGACCATGTGACTCCACTGTCCCTCACAGTGGGGAGCAAGTCAAGGACAAGCTAGCCTGGCTCCTGCTGGCCTCTGGCCTGGGATCTGAAGAGGTGGAGCTCTGTCCCTGCGCTGTGTGTGAGATCACGGTCTTGATTGTCTGTGTGTGCACCGTTCTGAGCTCTGGCTCCGGGTCAGAAGAACAGTGTCTGGGGGTGCGCTGTCCCCTGGGCTGATGAGCTGTGTCCAGGAACAGGCTGCTCCAGGTGCACACAGCTCTACCTGACTTGTTAGGGTTCAGCTGCCCCAAGACTCTCAGCTGTGACTATGGATTAGAGATTGTAAACAGCAGAGCTTATGAGTTCCACTGTCCCACTCTGTTTAAAGAATCTTTAGATTAATCTCTCCAAAAAAGGTAGTGCCAGCACCAGTGTGGGCAGTGATGGATGGATTTTCTGTGAATTGAGGCCAACCTTGAATACATGGGGAGTTCCAGGCCAGTCCAAGATACATAGGACCCTATGTAAAAGGGGGAAAAGATAAGCAGGACATGATAGTGCACACTGTTAATCCCACCCCTTGAGGGGCAGAGACAGGGAGATCTCTGAGTGTGAGGCCAACTTCAAACAAAGGGAGTTACAGGACAGCCAGGGCTATACAAAGAAACCCAGTATTGAAAAACCAAGTAAATAAAGGAATGAATGAAAACAAAAGGGGAAAAAAAGAAAATCACAGGAAGGGAGTTTCAGTGAGATGGCTCAGTGGACACAGGCACTTGTACCAAGTCCGATGACCTGAGTCCAGTCCCCATAACCCACCTGGTGGAAGGAGATTCTACGCCAGCAGTTGTCCTCTGACCTCTACCTGCATGTGGAGCATCTGCCCATTCCACAGTAATGTGGATGGTAAGTATTTATTTTATTTCACTTCAATCGAAAAATCAGTAGGAATACCAGTCAAGAGCAGTTGCTCCTTTACTGGACTATCTGATTTTTATTCTTTAGTAATAGGTAGAGGGGTTGAGCTATAAATCTGGATGATTCAGGTGGCTTTATTGACCTTGTCAACTTCCTAAGGATGACACCTCTCAGAAGTTAACTGCCTATGGAATAATCCTTATTAGTGTTCCAAAATGAATTTCCTGTAATAGACATGTTTATAACTCTTGGCTTGTTAAAAGGAGCTTTCTCAAAGTTTTAAAATTGTAAGGAAGGTAATTTAAAAAAATGTTTTGGATACTTGGAAAATAAGCAAGAATTTTAAAAGGTTTTTCTGGGCACAGTGGCATAGCTTGTAATCAAGAGGCAGAGCTGGGCAGGCAAGCACCGAAGGCCAGGCTAGGCTACATAAGAAGTCCCGGGCTAGCCTTAGCTACATAGTCAGCAAGGATAGCAACCATTGTGGGTTCACTTAAACACTACAGCTCAGAAAATCCATACCCTCCCTGCCTCCCCTGCCTGGCTGACAGGCTGAGCTTCACACAGGATGTCTCCTCGGCCTGGAGGATCATGAGCTCACACAGAGGTCCACGCTGAGTCACTCTCCCCTCCCTGTGCTCCTCAGCAGGACGCGCCCCAGGCGAGCATGGGCGAGCACCCCGGCACTTACCTTACTCATGTTCTCCATGCCTCCTGCAACCACAATGCTGGAGTCTCCTATGGCTATGGACTGGGCTGCCAGGCACACGGCTTTGAGGCCCGAGCCGCAGATCATCTGGCAGCTCCAGGCAGGAACCGAGAAGGGGATCCCAGCACCCACACTGGCTTGTCGAGTAGGATTCTGCCCACAGCCTGGAACAAAGAACACAGAAGCCTCTAGGCCATCAAGGAGAAAGGGAAACACCAGGGTCCAAGCGTGGGTTACATGCTCTTCAGGACATGGCCTGCTGTGGGGACACCAGACTTTGAGCAGAAACCCACTTCCCCTTAGGCCTGGGAGCAGGCAGCTGTGTAATGTTTACTGAAAACAATTCAGTGCTATAAAGCTCTTGATAGGGCTCAGATAAGGGCTTGCTCACTGAAACACCATGACTTTCACACCCCCTACGGCTAGATGCCTCTTCCTGTCCCGCCTGTGGTGTCTCCCCGATTCTGGGGCCGGAGATTAAACCACCAGCCAGGAGGGTGAGAAGTCTGGAAAGAATTCTATGTAGATGGATGGCAGAAGTCCTTAAAAAGGGAAGCTCTTTTTTCTTGGAGAGACTTCTCCTGAGAGCTCTCTCCTAAGCGGACTGGGGTCTCCTCCTAAGCTGACTTGGGAAGCATAAAGTTTTCTTAAAGCAACCGACCGGTCTCTGTGTCATCTATCCCGACCACCTCGCTACATTCTCGGATGCAGGCCGCACAGCAGGTGCGACAGCCTGCCACTCTGTCATGCCTTCAGGCTAAGTTCTCACAGCCGCATGGATGCCTGTGTCCCTCTGCCTGCCACTCTAGACCTGAGACAGGTGGCAGCTTGTACAGCTCCTAGGTGTTTCAGCGAGAAGCCTCCTCCTCCACACACAAGTTCCCAACACTTACGACTTCAAGATCTTAATCTCTAGAGGGCCTGACTTTTCCTCCCAGTTGGCAAGAAAAGTCATTAAGACCAAGGGTGACAGCCAGCTAGTTACAAGGTCTGTGAACACAAGGCGTAATTCAGACACAAAGAGCATTTGCTCCCAGAAGCCTGGCATAAGAAACGTAGAAAGAAAAGGGGGGGCTACTTAAAGAGGAAATCTGTGCATAAAAGGTATGTAGAAAACCATGCTGGTGTAGTAGCTCATACCTGTAATCCCAGCAGTTTGTAAATCAAGGCAGAAGGTTCACAATAAATTTGAGGCTGGTCAAAGGTTTGTGTTTTTTTTTTAAAGATTTATTTATTATGTATACAGTGTTCTTCCTACAGGTCAGAAGAGGGCAACTAATCTCGTTATAGATGGTTGTGAGCTACCATGTGATTGCTGGGAATTCAACTCGGGACCTCTGAAGAGTAATCAGTACTCCTAACCTCTGAGCCATCTCTCCAGCCTCCAAAGATTTATATATATGCATGAATATTTCATCTGAATATGTATGTGTGTGTGTGTGTGTGTATGTATGTATGTATGTATGTATGTATGTATGTATGTATGTATGTTTGAGGGCGTCGGGTCGGGTACTTGTTAGGGCCAGCAGACGGTGCTGGGTTCCCTGGACCTGGGGTGAAGGGGGCTATAACCCCGAGCGGGTACTAGGAACTGAGCTCAGGTCCTCTAGCAGGGCAGCAGCACTGAGCCATCTCTTCAGGCTCTAAGAGAGGAGGATATGTTTTAGAGACACCCTCAATCTGTCAGACTACTGAAAAACAGAACCCCAAACTGGAAGAGCCCTAGGAATCCCATGCAGAGAGAAGGGAGAAGGTAGAGCCTGGCAGCAGGCAGGGGTGGAGCTTCCCTCCTAGAAAAGGGTCTCACACACTTTGACAACTCGGCAGACCACCGTGCTAGAGACCCAGTGGGCGGGGCCGTAAACTGAGCGGACTGTTTAAGTAAATCTCCCTTTTCTGTCATCTACTCTGCATTTTGCTGTCCCAGGTAGCTCATGAAAGACAATGGGCTGAACCTGACTTCTTGAGATAACAATGTGACACCAGAGGTAACAACGGCACCTCATTTTATATGTATATGATGCAAACCCTGGTGAGGGGAATCTGAGGTCAAAACAACCCTGGCTCCGGGTGTTTCAGACGTGGGCTAGTCAACCTACACATCTGCAATGTTCCCAGTAAGAGCAGAAGGTGGTTTTGAACGCTAACAATCATCTCTACAATCAATTCAAATGCATGCCGAGGGAGCACTGGGGGGGGGGGGGTGGCAGGACCATGAACTCATGACCTCACTCGTGCTAACCACACACTCCACCACCGAGCCGCACACCCAGGCACCATGGCAGTTCTCAACAGGGAAGGTCAGTCTTCAGTCACTGTCTACAAACCCAGCAGGGAGCAGAGGAAAGCTAAGGTATTTTCAGGCTCTCTATCCTCCTCCAGGGAGGGAGGAAGCTCCCACAATGAGAAACAGCCAATCTCATGACAAGTGGACAAGGGTGTACCCGATGGACTCCAGCCACCCTCCCTGCTGCTGGCACAGTGCCAGCCCCACACACTGGATTGAATGGGTGGCGTTTCAGGGGTATGTGGGGGGCTATGCATATTCTCCCATGCACCAGGCTGGCCTAGCTTCTAACAATGCAAAGGCGGTAGAGATGGGTGGTCTAGGACCATCAGGGAAGAAGCTTGTAAAGAAGCTGGGACTTCAGCTGGGGGAAGGAGGAGGGACAGGGAGAATCCTGGCAGAGGGAACTCTAAGGAAGAAATGTCCGGTGGGGGGAAGAGAAGAAGGGAGAGAGGGAGAGAGAGAGCGCGTGCAAATAAATGGTCTGCTTCTTCTAATGAGCCTGATCTCTCCTGGGGTTACTGAGGAGTTACCTGCCGCCAAAACGTGTCCAAATATGACCTCGGACACCTCTTCTGGGGCCACCTTGGCCCTCTGCAGGACTTCTTTGATGACAGCTGTCCCGAGGTCGTGGACAGGCACAGTAGACAGGGCACCATTGAAGGAGCCTGCAAGGGAATGGGGAAGAGGGGCGGCCTCTGAGCCGAGAGCACACTGAGCATCATCACCGAGGAGCAGGACGGAATCGCATGCTTTCCATACAGAAACGGCTGTCGCCGGGGCGGGCAAGGGCGATGGGGACTTGCAGGACAATGCCGAAGAAGGCCAAAGCCTGCCCCGAGCCCCTGCGGGGACCACCAGCTCCCGGCCCCTCACCACCACAGCGTGATCGATGGTGCTTGGCAGAGCGGGCCAATCAAGGACCGGGAGAGAGGGCGCGTCCCACAGGCAGCCAATGGGTGAGCGTGGCAGAGCGGTGGCTCTACGGCAGGGAGCCAATCGCAGCAGGAGGGGCGGGGCCGCGGGCGAGGCGCGAGGCACAGGTCCGTGGAGTCCGCCGCCGGCCGGCCGGCCACCCCCTCCCGTGCGGCGCGAGCCCGGTCTCGGCGCACCTGCCGGGGAGGTGGGCGGAGGCCGGGACACAGACACTCACCTATGGCGGTCCGCGCCGCAGAGACGATGACCACGGGGTCCGAGCCTGCACTCATCTTGTCGCCCCGCTCCTCGCCAGCCGTCAGCCTGCCACGGAGGTAAAACTTCCTTCTGCCTCCCAGGCCGTCCTGGGGGGCGGGGCTACGGGCTCTGCGCCCCGCCTCCACGCGCCTGCGCGGCACGCTGGGCGGGCCCAAGTTCCCGAGGAGGGTGGGATGCAGGCTCTGGTTGTGTTGGATGGGGTGGCGTCCACGCAGCTAGGCGTGCGGGTCAGGGTGGGGTGTAGACAACCCGGGCACAGACTAGGGATGTCGGAGAGCGTTGGGGTGTGCAGGCGGTCTGGGGGTCGCAGATGGGGTCCGGCGTAAACGGTCGAGGGGTGTCGACCTGGGTTGGGGGGGTCTTCTCCAGGCGACACACCCCAGAGAGCCTAGGCTAGCCTTTCCTGGGTAGGCAGCTCCCGCCCCTTCCTCCTCTGCGCTGACATCCCTAGGGCATGGATCCCCAGGGCAATGAATGGATCGCTGCTGTTTCAAACCCTTTCGGACTTCTTTCCCAGCCAAAGGCATGCTTCTGTCAGATTTGCTCCTTGCCTCCTATCTGCCTTGTGTCATTCATGCCTTTTGGCGACTCCCTCTGGCCACCCTCAGTGCCTCTCCCCAGCTCCACCACCCACACCGCCACAGGCCAGCGCCAGTGCCCAAGTATTCTGAAAGGAGGAAAGTCATCGCGGTTTGCTTCTGCAGCTGGCTGGCCCGCAGAGAATGCCACCTATTTAAAAGGAAATCAAGAGCCTGTCTGTGCTGGAAGGAAAGGCTTTCTAGGCAAGTGTCGCAGTGAGTGGGAACAGTGGAGTATGAGGAAGGTGCCACGGGTTTTGAGGAAAGCCAGTTGACATGACCTGGGGCCTCCTCCTGAAATGTAAATTGAAAATATTTTGAGAGATGTAGATGGGTCAAATATAAAGGGTAAGTGTAGACTCCTGAGATGGGGCTAAAGAGAACAGAGTTTCCTTCTAGAGAAATCTGTAGCGTCTGGAATCGCTGGTCCTCCCTGCTGCAAGCGCTCACATAAAGTCTCACTTTTCTAGTAGTCTGGATTGTGTTCCCTGTTCCCACGAGTCCAAGAAAGACCAGGGACTTCCCCAGGCTTCGTGCTTATTACATTTTTGTAAGATTTTTTTATTTTTGTATATAGATGTTTTGCTTGCATGTATGTCTGTATACTGTGTATGCATGCAATGCCCGAGTAGGCCAGAAGAGGTGGTTAGATCTCCTGGGACTGGAGTTACAACAGATTGTTACTGTAGGCCCTAAAAATTGAACTCCGGTTTTCTGGAAGAGCAGTAAGTGCTCTAAACCCCAAAATAATATATGATTTCTTCCTAGGAGAAAAAGAAGAAATAAAAGGAAACCATTATTCCTTTCTCCATTCATTATTTTTAGCTTGCGTGTGGCTCATGTGTAGCTGTTGTAAGGAGCTATCACGACAACTTCTCAGTGTTGCTGCTGCTCTCGACAACAGCGGTCAGCTTCTTGAGATTTTCTCCTCTGCTTATGTGCTTAGTGTCTGCAGAGGGCAGAGGATGCTGGGCCCCTGGCAACTGAGTTACAGAAAGTTGTGAGCTAACATGTGGGTACTGGGAACTGAACCCAGCTCCCTGCAGGAGCAGTAAGTGCTTTTTTTTTTTTTTTTTTTTTTTTTGGCTTTTCGAGACAGGGTTTCTCTGTGGCTTTGGAGCCTGTCCTGGAACTAGCTCTTGTAGACCAGCCTGGCCTCGAACTCAGAGATCTGCCTGCCTCTGCCTCCCGAGTGCTGGGATTAAAGGCATGCGCCACCAACGCCCGGCGCAGTAAGTGCTCTTGACCACTGTGTCATCTCTATTTTCCCAGGACTCTGGCCACCCTTCATTCCCCTCTGAGGGCTTACTCTCATTGACTCTTCCCCTGGGAAGCACTGTGTCTACCCCATCACTGGTTCAGTTAGCGCCCATTATGTTGACAGCTCTGAAATCGGTCTCTCTAACCTTGTTGCTTATGAGAAGACTGGTCCTCTCTATTTAAACTTCCTGTAAAATATCAAATTTATCATATCTATTCCAAAGTGGTTATGTCTAGCTGTTCAGCTTATTTCTTCTATCTGAAGACTCAGTGAGTGGTGTAGCTTCTGTGGTGAAGCTAGGAATCTCTTGCATTCACTTAGATTTTACCTCATCCAGGAAGCCTTCCTAAATGCTGCCTTTGGTGTCCCCTCAGCTCTTGTTCCTAATCTTATTTTTCTACTTAAACGTCTAATTTTTAGTTTCCAGTTTCCTTGATTATGCTACACAAAGTAGTCTTGATCCCTTATACTGTTTTATTGTAAGTGCCTAGCACATTTTAGGCCGTAAATATGAGCAACACTGGTGCCTAAGAATAAATGGAGATGAGCTAGGTGTGGTGGCACAGGCCTATAATCTGAGCATCTGAAAAACTGACCGGAGGGTCAGGAGCTCAAGGTAGACTGGGCTACTCGAACCTTGTTTCTGTTTGTTAGTAAGAAGAACATGGTCTGTGGAGTTCTCTCAGTGGTTAAAGCATGTGTGCCATCAAGAGAAGGAGAGTCTGGTTCCCGAAAGCCCATGTGATTGTTGGGTGGGTGTGGAAGTCCACCTACCGCTCCAGTCTCATGGCAGAGGCAGGGGACCCTTGGATATAGGTTAGCTGTTGGTTTACTGAAATGCCTCAAAAGCACAAGAGCAGTTAAGAAGGATCTCTGCCACCAGTCTCAGGCCTCCACACATGAAGAAGTGAGTAGGAATATATTCCTTTAGGAACAAGGTGTGCACTCACTTGGCCCCTGCCTGGAGGCTCTACCAGGAACCAGCAGAGGAGAAAATCTCAAGAAGCTAACCGCTGTTGTTGAATGACCAGCAGCAACACTGAGAAGTCTTCGTAGCTCCTTACAACGTCTGCCGAGTGCTATGAATGGGCCAGATGCAAGCTAAAAATAATGGAGAAAGGAATAATAGTTTTTTTTCTCTCCTAGGAAGGAATCATTTATTTATTTAATTATTTATTTTTTTGTTTGCAGTTACAAAGGGATGGAGGCCAACATGGCAACAGGCATAGGAAACGGCAGTGGAAGGAAGCTGCTGGTCACATTTCAATCCACATGGGAGGCAGAGAGCTAGAGTAATTTTTTTTGTTGCTGTTTTAAATTTTTGTGGGTTTTTTGAGACATGGTTTTTCTAAGTAGCTCTGGCTGTCCTGGAACTCACTTTTGTACACCAGGCTTTAGACTAACAGATCTGCCTGCCTCTGCCTCTGAGTGCTGGGATTAGAGGCATACACCATCATGCCCAGCTTTTTCTTCTTAGATATGTGCATGTGTGTGCATGCCATGTGTGGGGGTCAGAGGGTGCTTTGGATCCCCTAGAACTGGAGCTATAGGTTGCAAGCCATCTTTTGAATGCTAGATACTGAATCCGAGTTCTCTGCAAGAGTAGTAAGTGCTTTTCACTGCCAAGCCATCTCTCCAGCCTTTAGAATAGTTTCTTAAATAACACCTATATTCACAGACTGGCAAAAGAAAACAGAATTTAACAGTGCTACTGACTGTCCTGAATGAGTCTTGCAGTCATTGAGTAGTTCCATGAACAGTTGCAGAAGTCTGTCAGAAAAATGATGTTTTGTGAATACTGTTTTTACATATTAAATATAGTTGAGAGGACAAGCTCACTTGTTGAAGTCTCTTTAATAAGCACTTTGACACATGCTCACATTCATCTTCCCAGGAATAGCATTCACTGAGACAGTAGCTTCAGGATGGCCTGAAGTCTCAATCCTGCTTCACCTCCTCTAAGTGTTTTGATTAGACAACATCAGACAACAACCACCATGACTACCTGTTCATTCATCAAACTGAGAATCTGACAACTGTCTTCCAATGCTGGACTTTTAATTCCTTTTATCCATAGCCTTATTTTTCTGGCCATGCCAAGGATAACCTGGGCTGTGATCATGCTAGGCAAGCACTCCACTAAGCCACACCCCTGTCAAATTGCTTCCAAGGACTGTATTTAACCACGCTTGTCTTAGCCTGCCATTTTTAACTATACACTTAACGCTTTTATAATTTGCATTCTCTCACAGTTACTGCATAGCCATCTCATTGATCTTTTCCAGGTCCAATCTCCAAATATTTTTTCTTCTTTTCTTCCTTTTATTCTAAAGGGTGAACCCACACAGGCAGGAAAACATTAAGGGCTGGGCTCAGCTGGGTGGCCTGCCAGCTTTGGAGTGATATTATCAGGGGACATTAAATGATAGTTTTGTTTTGGTTTTTCGAGACAGGGTTTCTTTTTTCTTTTTTTTTTTTTTTTGTTTTACGAGATGGGGTTTCTCTGTATTGTTTTGGAGGCTGTCGGTCCAGCCCAGCCTCGACCGCACAGCGATCCGCCTGCCTCTGCCTCCCGAGTGCTGGGATTAAAGATGTGCACCACCCCCTAGCCAAATACAAGTTTTTACTTGATAACTTACCAAATAAATTTAAAGAGTAGTTTTTTTCTGGTGTTACAGGGCCTTGTAGTTCATTAAAAAGAAAGTTGTTGCCCCCTAGCCACAAGATTAGAACCTGCCTCTGGCCAGAGACATGTCATGTCCTCTCCCTTAAGAATTAGTGCAGTGCAGGGCAGTTGGGCAGGTTGGTCACCTGACTGAGGGAGCACTGGCCAAGAAGGCAGACCTACCATAAGGCATGCTAAGGGATAACTATAACTTCAATGAGATAATGTAGTTTACTGGAATTTCTGTCCTATAGCAGTCAGCATAGAGCCACAGCGAGGCAGCTTGCTCAGTTGGCCTGCTAGCTGATTTACAGTAATTTTTCTTTCTTTCCATGGTCTAAGTATGCTTTCCCAATACTTCATTTTCTCTCTGGAGCCCCCTACCTCCTTTTAAGAAAAAAGATTTATGAGTTTGAGCTAGCTTGGTCTACAAAGAGTTCCAGGACAACCAGAGCTGTTACACAGAGAAACCCTGTCTCCAAAAAACGAACAAAAACAAAGTTTATTTCATGTGAGTAGTGTATGAATGTAGGTGTGTGTATCATGGGTGTGCCTAATATATGCTGAGGTCAAGAGGTCATCAGATCCCCTGGAACTGGGGCTTA